CCCTCTCTCTCTCTCTCTCTCTCTCTCTCTCTCTCTCGTCCATCAGAAATGTGTTGTAAGTATTACCTCAGACTTGTGTTCAGAAAGCATCTCAGTGGGGTTGGACTATTGGAATTTAGAGACTTGGCACCTCGAAAGAGGTATAGAGGGCAAGATATGTCCGCATGTGAATGTACTTTTCCATGCAATACAAGTCAATTCGTACGTGATCTACATATGCGAGTTCACCATAAACTGAAATCTACCGTGGGTGGTTGGCGGGTGCTCTAGTGTGGTTCGCTTCTTCTTTCCTATGAAACATCTATCATCCTTATCTCCCCTTCTTATTTTTAATGTTTGTTACTCTCTTGTAACACCTCTAATCTTCTGGCGGTCATATGACCTTATGCAGTTGCGAGCGCCGTAAAACCTCTAATAAAACTAAAACTAACTAAAATCTACCCAAAGTAAGATTTTCAACTGTTTGGCACTTTTTTGAAATACTCCTTTTTAAAGCGTATCACCAGATTTAACCAATTCAATTTAGCTCTTTGTAATATGTTCTGCATAAAGAACCCTCCCCAAAACCGAGCGCACGCCGTAAACGGCTCAGCTGTCGACCCCGTGCCCCGCGCTATCACAAAGTGACCGCTCGTGCGTCCTGTCAAAACTGACCTTCCCCCTGCCGTGTTTACCCGAAGCTCCTCACTCTGCTGCATGAAAGCCGGCCTCTCGCCCCGCCTATCGAGAGGCGGCCTGACCTCTTGAGGCAGCAGGCAGGAGATTGGTGGGTGACCTCTGTGCCGGTCCGCAAACGGCATCAGATGGACGTTTTTTTTCCCTTGATGATAAGACGACGAACCCTACCTAAGGTGGTCTCTAGCTCTCCGTTATGCGATGAGTGCCGGTTCGGACGTTCATGGAAATTCTCTCAAATTTTGGGCGTTTCAGACAAAATGTAAAACGACTACTTCATGTAGGACTCACTGAGCTCTCGACACTTTCCTCCCCGCAATCAGCCACAGTTCTTTCTGCCCAGAGCTGTATGATGAAGAATCCGTATGAATATCTGATTACTGGTATTGTTGTAGTACCTCATGAGAATTTCTTTTCCACTTCGAGTTGGATGTACGGTTTTGTTAGAACTGATTGTTAAGTCTTAAATGAATCCACTTTGACGGGAGAGAAACCAGTTCTATTTTACTCCCTTCTAGTGCCACAAAGCTAAGATAAAATCTTTTTGAAAGCTCACAAAAGGTTTGTGTTTTCCTTGTATTTGAACCTAAATCGTTTCATTTAGTGTATTATGCTTTCTTAATATACCACATGATCTGTCACGAAGTCCGTCAGGGTTGAAGAGCTAGGTTGTTTCGACCTCACTTTTTTTGACTGACCATTTTCCATGCTGACTGTGGAATGGGTGGGGTGTGTTCTCAATAATCATTTTGAAGTCTCGGGTCCCCAATCTGGCCAATAATCTTGCAGTCACAAAGAAATGAAGGCAAAAAATGTAAATTTGCAGTTTCCAAGGACACTCAGGTTTTGGGAGTTGCCAAACTAAGGCGGCCATTCACTCCCACATTTTAGCTCTTACACCGTGCGACCCCTATCACCTTCAGTTGCAAATTTCTCAACTTCTAATCCAGAACGTTGGGCATTTTTTCGTCCATTTTCTATGAGTTCTGAACAAGTTTTTTTAATGATACCAATAACTCCATAATATGCCCCAAAAATTGACGTGCGCCTGGTGCCTCATCGTGTCCTGACATATTATTTAAATGGCGGGAGACTGTTAGACTAGAGGCGGGTACGCGATGGGTTTGAGGCTGGGGTGTATTTGTAGTGTGCACTGAAGGCGCCAGAAATCGAAACGCAACGAACCGAACCGATTTTGCCATTGGGCACCCAATATAAGAACAGTCGCTCGATGAGGGTTTCGATAGGATGGTCCGAGCCGTGATTTAGAGAGGGAAGCAGGTGTCCTCGTGTTGACCTAAACGTGCCCGTTGCTTTTTCTCCACTTCAAGCCTCTCCAGTATGTGTATACGCGCCGTTATGCTGATTATTATCCGTGCTAGATCGTGTTATTCAGGGATAGCGGTTTCCGGTATTTTCCCGGGGGAAGGGGTGGTGCTCTTTTTTACACCCTCTTTCTTTGCTTTTCTGTTTCTGTATTTATTTTAGTAGCTTATCCATGTTTGCCACTCCTCGTTCTGGAAGATGATCCAGCACATTTTTCAAATACCATAATGTGGGCGTTTGGCAGATGCTCTGGGGTCATTTGCTCCTTCTTTCATATCAAACATTTATTTTCCTTATCTTTCCTTTTTTTTTTTGTTCCTCCTTGTAATACTTCGAATCTGCGGTACTTATATTACCTAATTGTGTTTCAAGTGCCGCTATACGCTTACTAAAAAACAAAAACAAAAAAACAACAACAACAACAACAATTATCATTCTTTTTGGAGCAGATTTATTGAAAGACAAGTGCGAAGTTAGACGACACCAAACGCTCCTAACGGTTTTGGGGGATCTTGTTGCAACCTTGGGTTTCTTTTTCTTTTTTTTTTTGGTTGTTTCCAGTGATTTCAGACGAATTATTTGCGTGAATTCTGGGGGAATTGCTGGGAGTTTCAACTATGTTTTTGGGGGTGTGTTTAGACGGATTTTGGGTTTCTTATCTTTGTCCAT